ACTCAAAACGATTAGATAATACAAGCGATAATAAACCCATTATACCTGAGGTCCAACCTAAATTCTAGCAACTGAAGAAATCAACAATCAAGCCCTCAGTATTTGCAAGCACGACACAACGCCTATTAGGTGGTTCCATTAGCGGTTTGCCGCAAATATTTGAATTTTAGAACTGAATGAACACGTGGATAGTGCCACGATATGGCATAAGGGCAGAAAACTCTCAAACGTATATTTTTCACGAACAAATGATCAGCTCCTGGTCGAGTATTTCCATGTCCGCTCACCAATAGGATGTACTGTCTATTGTACAGTCGTGTTTAATGTGGTCACGAACGAGATATTTGGGAGAAGTGGAAACACTTCCTATTTTAACTATACTAAAGCAGGCTACACGACCATAAGGAAAGATTTCCAACAACCCTGATGGTCATGAGGGCGGTGAAGGCTAACAGCGGATGACCAGTCTATGATAATGAGAGATGTCTTTTAGAATATCAACCAACACAATATACCTGAAGTAAAGCACACACCTGGGGAGCGGTGGTAAAGAGGGTCACAGAACGCTAGTTACAGGTCGAACGGAAAGCCCGGAACAAATGGAAGGTCTCTTTAAGAGAATCCGATCACAGTTCTAACATGGTATTGAGAAAGAGGTGTTTTAGGTCAAGCTAGAAGCCCAAACTTATGTTAATCCTAAATACGTGTATGAATTGATGGCCAAAAATAAAGGGATCTGCAGTTAAAAGTGCCAAAAGGTAACGATCTTATTAACTTAGAGATAACAGTAATTTTCCATGCCCATTTCGTAGACCAACTAAATCAGAAGTCTGAAAGCGAGAAACACTTCTCAACCCTAGTACCAGTTAAGGGTCTGGGAAATATCCAATTAACTTCCAAGCTAGTATTAAAGAAATCAAAATCCCTGAGCCCAGAAAAATTATAAGGATGTTAAAGTCTGGCCAATAAACCTTAGACAGTGCTCAGGAGCCATCAACATCGCAGTATGTCATTTGCTCAGGTACTCACTAAGTTCACACCAACTCCCAAGTGAATGGAATTAGCCACTTTCTCTTTAGTCTTCAAGGATGGAGGTGGATAAAAACCAGTGTTACAGACAAGTTCCGTTACTGTCGATACTGTCGAAGACAATGAAATGACTGGTCAATGAACAAATGAGAGACAACATGGACAAAACATGCATCCTCTATGAGGCCCAACATGCGCTCAGGAAAAGTAGATCACATGCGTCCAAACTCCACATAGCATGGGAAAGCTGGACGACCTGTTATGAACATAAGTTACCAGTTCATTAAATATCCCTCGGTTTCACAATAGCCTTTGATAAGGTACCTCATGCATTTCTCGTAGCGAACGTTGCAAAGATAGGTTTGGCCTACCCATTTTTATCTTAGTTCCGAAACCATCTCGAGAACATGATATTTGATACACGCATTCACCCACTTATTGCCATATCCGTATTCGACAGGCTGTGTCCGTTGCAGGTCTCAAAATTTACCACGTTATCACTACCGCATACAGGTAACCACTTCATACCCCTCTTGTCATCTCTGTTTCCTTTTTTATTCTTTTGATTTCGTCTTTTTAAATATTGCCAATTAAGTGAAACGTCTATTATTTTTTTATAAATGTCTTTTCTAATGATGTCGTCCAGAAGAACACTGAAAGCTTCACGACTAAACCATCCAGCTCAGAGAACAAAACTCTACCAAAGTGATTAATTATTCTTGATTCCTTCAGATGTACATTCTGCACTATTTGTGTTGTGTTCTAGTTTTTGCTTTTCCTACGTCTTCCCTAAATTTCCATGTTCTTCCCGAATTACATGTAAATTGTCTCAGTTGGTATTTGATTAGGGCTACCGCAATATTGATTCGCTCTCCTTTTTAATTGCATTTTCGAATGCAATGAAGCACTCCTCCAGGAATGGAAACGCTCCGTGTTATAAAAAAGTTAATTATTATCTTTTGAGCAATGTGAAAGTGGTCTATTCGCAATGGAACAAAATAACGTTCCCGTGTTGATAGGAACATTTACATGTTTTCCTTAGTAGTTCTCTTGTATCCTACACCACTTTATCTGCTTAGCGCAATTTAGATTTAACTACTGATCAAGCTATTGCTGATTGAATAACTAGATGGTAATCTTTGTCTAAGAAATAATGTACATATAAATTTATAACACAATTCAGAAGGTTTTCTCAGCATTGCGTGCATTTAACCAGTTATTCCGAATTCCAAACTGCTCTAATTTGGAAGCTATACACTACCGGAAAAACCAAGCCCTAACTCGTGCTCTTCAAATTGAAAACAGAGGAGTAGGAGTGCAAAAAATATGAAGTCAGGGAACATTTAGGATCTAAAAGTGTTCACAGAACCTGGTTATAACACGAAAGACAAGCCCAAAAGAGGGCTATTTGGAGAGTCATGGTCAGCAGCCGATGCACCTCTAGAGGTAACAGACAGAGGTAAGTAGTTAAAAGGACCACGGATATTCAGAAGTTGACGGTGCTACCGTCCACACCACCCTTATAATTTAATGATGTCAAGACAGTCGAGTCATTAAACATAGACGAATGGTTTCGAAGATTTAGAAGGTCGTCGATAAGTTGTGAAGCATTTGGTCTAAGCCGCCTAGTGGTTAAAAGCGATGGGTAGCACAGCGTGACGACCTGCGATCTGGCGCAGATGTGTGATCGAGCAGCTTCAGCTAGGTTGTGTCCGGCAAAAATTATGAGGTCAGCATCGATATCAAAAGCTTGCAGAACTATTATTGATGGGAATAATTTACTGCTATATAATCAACTTTTGGCACTTACTCTTAGAAGTGATATCTTCAACCGACTCATTGAAAAGATTGCACACATATGGAGGCTTGATTGAGAACCTAAAAATAGGTTCGCTATTTATTGTCTTTAAAAAACAAAGTGATTTCCAAGAAGTCATCACAAAGCGTTTATTATGAACATATTTGTTGTTGAGACATCGAAACCCTACTAACGTCGCTTTTCTGTTCCATGTGAGAGATGTCACTTATTTAACGCTTCCATCCCCGATAAGTGTCAGCGGATTCAATCTTCAGACAGAAACTACCAATTTACTGAGCTTCCAGACCAGAAAAGTGGTACTATTAGTATGGTTAGGACAAAATAGAATCCTATAAGTCATTCCAAAGAAAATAACAGCCTTCTTAAGCGTGATTTGTCGTGGCCTAGAAGTCACTTACTATTGGTTCTTTTGTTAGTTGTTCTTACATGGTTGTGTTTAAATCACGGGTTCAGAGAATAAATAACCTTCATATCTCCAAAAGTCGAAAGTTTGAGTGTGTACGTTACAGTTGTTGGGTAGGTTCTGTTCACTTAAGCTATATGTTTTGTAGAAAAGTAACCTACAAGAAGTTACGAAGCGTCGTAAATCTAGTATCACGTTCATTTTCGCACATAGAGTTATGATAAACAATCCGCGACAAATAAAGAAATTTATCACCTTAACTTTTATGTTTTGCAAGGTTCTTGACGTATCGGTTTTTAATTTAATTTGACACGAGTGTGTGTAAGCAGTTTACGTGTGCGAGCTCAACTTGTCAGTATTAGTTCGTTGCTTATTTCTCCAATAGTGATGGTTACTAACATGCCACTGTGGGTTCTGTTTTCTGTGTCAAAGTGGTAGTCACTGTGTAACTACGCTTCCCAGTTGATGATAAATCTTAAAATATTTATTTGACCTATCAAAATTCGCTCATGCATAAAGTATGGCTGTGGGATACGTTAATGTATGCTTTAGAGCTTTCGCTACCAGCTCAGAACTATTCAGCTAATAGCGCACGTACATGTTTGGGAACCAAATTCTCCGTTGGTCGGTCAGTTTTGTGATGAGTGACGAAAATGGGAGCCAGATTCAAGTATATTGTTTTATACCTGTCCCAACCTTGGTTCTCTTTCATGTTCGGTTTTGGTTTCTGCATATTTACATTTTATTACTAGGAATCTTAAATTCACTTTTAGTCGGTATTGATTTCCTTTTCTACAAGTTTTATTTGGGGACTACACACCTCAAAAATTATTATTCTTGAGTATATGTATCAATGTTGGAGGCTTTAAGGTTTTAGTAAGTAAGACCCGTCGTTGTGCTCAGCATTGTGGTGAAAAATTAACCGATCATATAGGATGCAAGTCTATGGGCGTGTACTATACTAAAGTTCGTAGAAAGAAAGACTTTCTTTCTTTCTACGAACTAATTCTTTCTTCCTATACTATATCCTTATTGCAATCTTTCTCCTATATATTACCACCTTTAACCTAACCACTCCTATGAATCCGATGTTCATCTTGCTGTGCTAATGAGGTATGGCAACCTGGGCCGATGCATACATGTGCCTGGTCCTACGTTGTAGCTGACTGACTATACTAAAGTAAATACTATCAGTAAAAATCAAAGTTGAAAGTAGCTCGAAATAGAGTGAACGAATTACTAAGTACCGAATCTAATGATATCCCTTAACAAATGGATCTCATTTTTCAATCCTACCTCATTTAAAGTGTCGAATTGATATAATCGTAGTCGATTTGATTCATTTCCATACACAAGTTTACCTCACGGCTGAGTCTTAAATTTCTCCCTCGTAATATACGAATGTTGATCTGAGTTAGTTATTCTGTACAGTGATCCATCACACCTGTCCAGTTAAAATTTTATTTCATTGTCGGTTTCAATAGATTTTGAGAGAAACAATTACCTGATTGAGATTCATAACTCAAAATCATGTTTCCTACTTTAGGATTCCTAAACTAGGCCATTTTGTTAGAATCAATAGGACTCACTAAGTCGCTTTATATCTTTCTTTGTTGTTCGACTTCGTTTATTGTATTGGATTTGTTCTCCTTAGGTGTCAATGTTGTAACCTCACGTGAAAAAAAAACGAAATACCCAATAGCATAATAATTGTAATTCCTTCAGTTATCCAGTAGTTCAGGTGGAACCATGCTTGATCGTCTCCACTCTTATGGTAGAAACAAACTTTACTTCTTAAGACTTCGTCGATTCTGTCAGTTTATTTTAAATCTCGGCAGGGATGGATTTTATGACGGCTGGCTGGGAAAGGAATCTTACTGCACTCTGAATACAGCTGGTAAGTTCCTAAAAGTTTTGGTTTAATATAAATTTACACATGACCACAGTTTTCTAAAAGGTGTCAATTATGGATTAACTACATCCTTTAAATTATCAGTTCATCGGTCAGTGATTCCTCGTAGTGGTGCCCAATAGACCATAAGGGATTTGATTATTATTCTCGACTTGTAGCTGTATTTCATAATAATTAAAACGACATGCATTCATTTCGTTACACTCGTTTTTAACTTAATCCTGTCGATACTTTTGTGAGGTCATCTAATAGATATGCAAATATGAGTCTTGTGTTCACTTTTTAGATTCTGATATAGCCTCGACTAATGCTTCGTTTGACTTCTGTTTTGCAGTAAAATTTATCCTCATATGTGTTCACTTTCCACCGTCTCATTTTAGAGGATTTTAGACTGCTATATTCCGAGAAAGCTCGCGTTATTTGTGCTATGTGGTACTTTTTGTCGAGGCACAAGTTTAAAGAGGCTGCTAGATTACTAGCTCACTCAATCCATGCATATCCAATGTCATCGACCTGGATATGGCGGGTTAGTTTTTCTACTTTTACCGCTTATTTGTTTAGGTGGCATTCCATATATTCCAGTGTTTGAAAGATGATGTTGGGTTGAGATCATTTAGTAGGTAAGTGGACTTTCGTAAAATCCGTTTTATTTCAAAAGTATTATGCTTTATCTGCATTTTGGCGTCCTTACCTATACAATAAGTTATCAGTGAACGCTTAACCTCTAAACTTGGAGCTGAGTTACGTCTTGATACTATCCTGTCTGTTTCGTACACGTACATTCTGAAACAAATGGGCACTAAAATAAATAGGGCACACAGTAAGGAAATATAGTTGTGAAGTAATAAAAGAACGAAAGGAATTGTAGTCAAGACGAAACGGTTCAGTCAAAAAAATGTCTTGACCGCAGCTATCACCTTAACATGGTCGTCAGGCTTGCCTATTGGGATGACTTAATCAAGCTATATTAGCTAAAACACATTCTTTTGAGTTCTACCATGCCAGACAGGTCGGTTGGCGAAACGTTATTCCAGAAGTAGCAACTCACTGTCTTATGGCGAAATCTTATTGATTACTAGACATAGATGTAACAGCAGTAAGGGGTTTTCCTCAGATAGCATCTACAACATTGCTGCGTTCATACAACGGAAGATGTTAGAATAGGTCCGCTCGAGAAATAGTACACCCACGAATTTTCGTCTGAGACAGCAAGGTCTTTTAAATATGTAACCAACACATTTAAAACCGGTATAAAGTCCATGTGTAACCCGAGTCAATCAGTTATTATTTTGGCTCTGGGGTTACGCCCCCAGGTTATTCATGACCATCCTTAACACAGTTTCTTTTTCAAGTCCACGAAGAAAATATATCCTTCTACAGTGTAAAGAATCGGGAAGTGACAACCGTCTCCATACCTCTAACAGCATCAGAGACTATTTTGTTCATGGTCCAATCCCTCTCTCATCTCTTAGTGCTTCGCCTGCCTCCACGATTAACCCTCCTCGTATGGCTATCACCGTATTCCACCAATGCTAAGATCCGAGTCCACGAAGTGTTATTCTTTGTTTCATGAAACCATGCTCTTAACTAAATGTTGGAGCTTTCAGTGTTCAGATGCTATACCAGATATATTAACTTATCTTGGAAGTCTAATCAGCCCCAATAGGTTTGTGTCTGACGAAATCTCAGCACGGATTCGAAAAGCTCGTTTGGCTTTTGCCAACTTACATCACCTATGACGAAGGCGAGATACCCGTCTATCAATAAAAGGACGAGTATACTGCGTGGCAGTTCGTTCTGTTTTACTTTACGGCTGCGAAACGTGGTCATTAGGAGTTGAAGATACTCGTAAGCTACTAGTATTTGACCACAGATGCCTTATAAATATTTCTGGCATCTGCTGAGATCACCGAGTAAGTAATAGTGAGATTAGACGCAGAGTATTAGGGAATGATGGTAAATCGATTGATGAGGTTGTAAATCTTCATCGACTGAGATGGTTGGGCCACGTGTTGCGTATGCCTGAACCCCGATTACAACGACGTCCAATGCTGAATAGTGTAGGGGATGGTTGGAAGAAAGTTAAGGGCGGCCAAATCAAAACGTGGCATCAGTACTTGGGGTCACTAACTTCTGATCCGAGCCATGTTGGTAGATGCAGACTACTTGGTTGGGGTCCGTGTGACGATCATAACCAATGGTTGGAGACTGTGTGACACGGCTCAGAATCGATCACAATGGCGTCGGTGTATACACTCTTTGTCTTCCCTTAAACTGTGAGATTAAAATCGCTTCATATTTTTCTTTCTACCAGCCAATTCTTTCTTCCTGTACTATAACCTTATATGCAATCTTTCTTCTATAATATTATCACCACCGAATTAACTACTTCTATGAATCCGGTGTTCATCTTGCGGTGTGGCAACTTGGACCGATACATATATTTGCCAGGTCCTACGTTGTAGCTGACTGACTGAGAATTACTCTTTAAGTTAAAATACTCTTGTATTCTCATGCAATGTCCGTACTTGGGACCGAAAATGGTAGCCTGTAAATAATTGACGTTATAGGTTCTATCTCCGAAGTAGTCTATCATGAGGTAGACGTCTACAGTCTTCTTACTGCGAGCATATTACACTCTCATATTAACACTTTGACTATCTATCCTTGCAAAACTGGTAACCCCATGTGAGTTCACAAGTTGTCTATCGTGTTTAATGTAATGACACTACCTCATGATAGGTCAAATGAATGTCCAAACCTGTAACCCAAGTATTGAAAGTTGAGTAACTAAACGAACAAATAAGCTCTACTAGCAGTTAACCAGTATATCTTCAGAAATATCATGTTCTTGTATTGTATTGGAGTCCGTGAAACCAGGCCGTTATAATAAGAGCAGTAGTATTGTGGATGTGAAGCTAAGTGTAAGGTTCCGGATTAATTGACGGTAACTTGAGAAAGGTAAAATAGACAACAATAGTTTATACAACAAACAAATGGTTACAATTAAGAGCACACAATGATTCAATAATCCAGATGTTATACAATTAAGATATAGTTCTTCATAAGATTGTTTCGCAGATCGCAACTTTCTCGATATTTATCCCGTTATAATAGTGAGAGATTATTTTTCAGTGATATAACTATGGTTTCAAGTTAAACCATATGAAAGCGTTGCATGCACAACATTTCAAACATTATGTAAGGTAGGTGACTTGAGAATTTTTTTCGTCTAAAGAGTTCTAGGACTATCTTAAGGAAAGCAAGGTTTGTGATGCATTTATATAAAACAATTGTACCTTTTTTATGTAGTATATATGTGGTTGGTACCGACTAAGGATACGCCTAATGAGAACTATCATGTACTGTTGTAGCGGTAAATAAATCCCCAAAATAAATAGCTCTGTAAGTTTTCGACATTGGATGCTGACCATATGTTTTAGTGGACTCATCTAGCTGAAGGCGCTCGGTCAGGCATCCGCACCAGATCACGTGTGGTAACGCCGTGCTCAACATCAACCGCAATCGCTAGCCAGATTAGATCAGAGAATTCCGATATATTGGTCATCGCCAAATATACTCTTCCGATCTCCTCGACTCTGTCTTTTGATTTCTCTTGATGGGAACGAAATATATTAGAAGGTGTTACTGGTAGAAGCGTTGTGAAACACTGAATACCTGTGACATCATCAGTGTAAAATCTCAGTAGTTTTACGTCGTAAGACGGTGTTTTTTACAACCCAGTCATAAACAGGTTGGATTCCAAAGATTTTCTGAAATTATTATGAGTGACTTTCGTCTTAAAAATTTGTTTAGGCGTTACCCACAGTGTTACAAGTTTGTGTTACACTATACAGTATACATTGAACTTAAACAAAATCAATTTATTTCCTGTAGATATGTCTTGTAATGATTTTTAATTTTGCTTTTTCAGGGTTTTGGATGGGTTTCTTCTGAGTGATGAAAATAACCGTATATTAGAGTTTATATTATATGAGATCAGCAAAGGAAACTTGAATGCTGTACAGTTTTGTCGCACAAATATACAGGTACGTTGCATCCCTATCCTGGTTATTTTTTGCAAGTTACAACCTTATTCTACAACTCAGAATATGGTTACTCCAGTGGAATTATCCTCTCAAATTGTTGATGGAGATTATTATGGTGACCATTGATCATTATTAATAGGAATTCATGGGAGATGAAAAAGATTTTTACGAAATCACACCTATTTTCTTGTTAGTTTTTATTTACTATCCTATATGTGAACTTGAATCGATACATTATTATTGCTAACTTCGAGTTATTTCTATTTATCTTTGGGATTGTTACCACCGACAATCTTACTGTTTAATATGCTTCCAGTGGAAGCTCTTACGAACTCTTAGGAAATGATTTAAAAATACAACCCATTGTTTCTGTCTGTTATGTTTACTGGAATTTTGACAAGTTAAATTCATTTTCAAGAATCTCGATTCGTCAGTTGCACTTTTTGCTGCGTGTATTTTTACCATTTACTCACTAATTTATGAAGTCCGCTCTGATATATCATTCTAATCTTTTTTGCTCGTTTTGTGGATGTTTTCTACTCATACATCGGCAAGACGCTGATAAATCATACCTAATATGGAGGGATCTTAGAACTGCCAGCTACCTGCTCACTTTAGTCCAAATAGAATTCTATTTTCCTACCAACTCTATCCATATTTATTGGTTCTTGTTGCTATTCTATCACCCCAACAATTTCCTCAACATTTACGTAGTATTTGTGTTGAGATATCGAGTTTGCTACAAATCACCCCCTTTTTGATTTAGTTCTACAAACCGTACATTTAAACATTCAAAACCACAGTTTCAAATGGAAGAATAAACTTCTTAATCTAGAAAATATGAACTAGATCTATATATAAGGGTCGTGTTTTATAGACACAATCTTAATGATATTAGACATTTGATTTCAGACAACTAGTGTGGTAATTCTAAGCTTCAGTTTGAACGCCTAGCAACCAATCGATTGAATAGTAAAAACCCCATTCACAATAATAAGCTTGGTGAACACTGATGGTGTAATGAACGAAGATTTGATTAGAGGAAACCAACTTTATATTTGTAAAGTATGAAAATAATACATTTAACACACCATTTAGACATCTTCCTTGAATTGTCTCTTACACACCATCGTTCATCCATTCCTGTTGCTTCTCCAACTGCTTCTGTTTTTCTTACTCTTCTCACTTTCCTCTTCTGTTAGTAGTAATCCTACTACCAATTGCTGATACATATTACGTATGTGTCCGCGTAAGTATCACATAAGACAATGGTAACTCGGTGATGTATGAAAATAAATTTATATGTCAGCTACTCCTGAAGATGATTAGCGGAAATTTGTCTCTGTTTATAAAACCCTTTTTGGACTCAGTTCGTGCCTCAGTCACTCACAATCGACATAAAGACCAGACTGGACGATTTTTTATGAATAAATTCCACTACTGAAATCACTTCCAGCTTCTCTGCACTTTTATTAATGTGTACTCCTATAAAGGTCATATAGTTTTCAATCAAACGATCGAATCATGTTCTGAATCACATGATTTTCACAAAGAACTCAAGCTACATCAACCACGACTATTGTCTATTTTCAATACATTTTCTCGATTTGTTTTCACTATTCGCTAACTCAAAAACTCGTATTTAATTCGGATTTGAGTTGCCTTCAGTTTCTAGACTGGCTTTAACCCAAGTCTCCCATACCACATCGGCCAAACGAGACGAAACTGGTAGTTATGTCGATGATAACCAAAAATATTAAACATTGGAGAGTATGGTTTTAAAAAAGGGATGAATTCAATAAATAAAAGATTTGAAATTAAGCTTCAGTTCAAGGCTTAGGAAAATACAATGAGTGAATGCATCGGGGCCACTGTACTTCGATTTTGCGTGTGTGAATATGCTTCTGGATAAATACATACACATCCCCTGAAGTTTACTTTTGATTGATTTAGAGACGAGAATTTTAAAAACCAATTTGAGAAGAAAATAGTTTACGTTTATGGGAAGTTGACATTTACCAAGTGGCGTATAATCAAAATTTGGTAACAACTAGTAATTTTCGGGAGTTTTTTTTTCGAGTTTTGTTGTCAATGCCTGTAGCCGAAATAAGGACCAAAGGCAACTCAAATCCGAATGAAATACGAGTTTTTGGGTTAGCGAATAGTGAAAACAAATCGAGAAAATGTATTGAAAATAGACAATAGTCGTGGTTGATGTAGCTTGAGTTCTTTGTGAAGATCATGTGATTCAGAATATGATTCGATCGTTTGATTGAAAACTATATGACCTTTATAGGAGTACACATTAATAAAAGTGCAGAGAAGCTGGAAGTGATTTCAGTAGTGGAATTCATTCACAACAAATCGTCCATTATATTTAATGTACCGGGATATATCTATCTTCCATCATTGGCCAATCATACCTCACTTTGGTGGGATGTGTTATCGGTAAAGCCAATTAATAAATGTTTAGCGAAATAATTATGTCAGTAATGCATTTTATGAGCAACAGGTTGCAACAATTGACATAACATTTCAGAGGATATGACAACTGCTCTTCAGCCGCTTTCCTTTCAACCACTATCCAGCTATAATCAGAATGAGACAATGAAATCGTTTATATATTTTTTACTGCAGTTCATTATTCTATAGCAAGCTGAAAATGAATTAAATGGAAGGTTCTTAAGTATTCATTTCCTAAATGTTTGACAAACAAACGGAGCATGGGCTGACCTTTAGATATTTAACAATATATTTTCAGTGGCCTTGACAGCTTATCATCTTAGTAAACAAAAATAGAGCGAAAATAGTTTCCGAGTAATCACAACAGAATCATTTTGACTAACATAGTTCTTAAATTTCCAGAGTTCTAACCCCTAATATAAGCTTGGAAAGGGCAAACTCTTTGATTTCAACTTCCTAAAATTGTTCTCTCACCTGTTTCTGGAATCTCATCAGCAACAGAACATCGAAGTGTGGAACTTAATTCAGTTGTTTTCCTGGTTTTTACAAGATATCCGAACCCCTATTAAAAAACAGGCATACTGTCAAGCAGTCCTCTCTGTTTTCCTGGATAACCATATGGCTATGGTCGAACGTTTAAAAGATATATCAACTGACAAAAAATCAGCTTGCAATTAACCAAATAAAAATAGGAAACTATACGATAAAAAATTAGTCATTCACGAGTGAAACTGCTTGCATAAACGAATATTTCAGTATAAACAATATATTGCTAAAATTACTTGTTATTCCCTTTTTTGTTACAGCCTGTTCAACGAAATAAATATGCAAGTCTTCATACAGTTTTGACTAGAGAGCCAGAATTTGCACATGTTCAGCGATTACAAAGACTCTATGAAGGTTACAGCTTTTATGGAATGTGGCTTAAACAAATTAACTCATTAGTATCAGCTAGTAAGTTCTGAAACACTACCTATCGTCCGTTTAGAAGAACCATTAAGACCAAAAAATACCTTTCTCCCAATAAATATTTGAAAGCCAAATTTTGTCAGGTTTACTCAACCTTTTAAATTTTTGCTAACGAATGACTGTTAGTTTTCTTTCCTGTTCAATTTTTAAGCGAAAAAATACTGTGCAGTACGATTGACAACTCTGATTTAAGACGGAATAATATTTCCGACCACAATTTTTAGAAAATTTTAAATGTGCTGTAACTGTAACCCAGGTAAATTAAGTATCTGTGTAAAATATATGACACATTCCATTGCACTGAATTTTAGGTATAACCGTCTTCTTCATCACGAAGTTGACCATTTCCAATCCATTATAACCGTATAATTTAATCTGACTTCGTTACTTTTGATCTTATTTTTAGGTGATCCCGATGATATTCATACGACAGCCGATAATTTAGCTGAGAAAGCTTACCATCGATTACAAGAAGTTGAAGCTCTCGTTTCTGAGGGTCATTTGTGCGACACCTTTGTCAGAGCATTTGTCGAAGTAATTTTCCTCTTATTGTCCTATATTTAAATGAATATATCTCAGTTCATATTTGAATAGTTTTGAATAACCATTTATCAGTCAATATTTCCATCTAATCCTCATTGTCTTTAATTCATATCTAATATGAACTAATTTACTATTGCTTGTTTAATTCCTTTTGTACTCGTAGATACTGCAATATTTTAATGAATGTACACGTGCACATGCCTTACTACTTAGTTATGCTCAAAAAGTACCTGAAAACCCAAACACCTTAAGATATCTATGCGAATGGCATAAACGTCGACCTGTACCAATTACTCATTCATCAGCAGTTTTGTCTCCATCTCATCCAATAACCAAAAACTGTCATGATTCCTCAGCATGTAGTTTAGATCTAAGTGACGGTAATACAACTGTTGATGAAACTACACAATCGCATACCTCCCATCAGAAGAAATCGCCCAAAAGTTTGAAGAATTCAAAAATCTATTTAGAATATCGTATATCATTTAGCAGGCGTACATTACCTGAACCAGCTCCGAACCTGCCTGATAATTATGAATCTATGTCGAAAAAAGAAGTAAAAAGTTTATTAAGGAGAAGTCATAGCCATTTACCAACTATAATTTCTTGTTTAAAACGTGGTAAGTTGATCAAATATCTGTTCCTTCTCTGTGATATTATTCAAGATATTTTCCTAGCAACTTACAATGCTTATATAATCAATATAAATTTTTATTCGTATTCAAAATAGAATCTCCTGTGAAATTCCATAAGATGTTAAGATAGTTCTCGGAATACTTCGAAAAGATATATGTAGTTGACGGCGTATTGGTTTTTTGCTTCCTCTAGATCACCCTGAACGTAAGTTGTATGACCGTAGAAACTTAAATCACAAGTTTAGGAAAAATCAATGGACTTCAGCTCCGTCTACAAACCTGACAGATGCTTGGAAACTCATTACATCTGGTTCTGAACATGATTTGGAGCGAAGGCAGCTTAGACGTAAGTTTATAAAAAGCCTACCTAATGATCGTGAGTAGTGGTGAGTAGCAAAAGCGGAAGAGATGAAAAAGACAGCGGTGGGTAACAGTAGATTACTGTCCAGACTTATCAAAGAAACGTGTATTAAACATCCGGCAGGACTATTATCCACTCTCGATCCAGGAGATTGAACCGATTCGCAAAACACTAGGGGAATGGCCTTTAGCGGTAATTCAGTTACCTGCTATCTCCAAGTAACCTGAAGGTAAACTGATGTAAGTCCTTGAAATCTTAATGAGGTTGATAAGGTTATTGGTAATCTAAGTGATGGATAGCACCAGGGCCTAATTGACTAACACCCGAGATTTTTAAGGTTGGTGGTCCAGTTTTAGCAGTTCCATTAATTGAAATCTTAGTTAAAATCTGGTAACTGGATGTAATCCCATCTAATTGGTTTCGATCACTGATCGTCCCAGTTTATAAGAAAGGACAAAAATTCTCCTTTAACAATCTCAGAGGAACCAGTTTAATATAGTATCTAAAATATTAGTGTCATTTGTGGTGTAGGTGAGATATGCGTCTTCTGACCAAACAGATAGTTTACTTCGCAGTGGTTCTCCCCTTTCTACTTCATGGATGTAAAACATGGCTATTAATAGTAGAGGATATTCGTACGTTATTGGTATTCTGTTATAGGTTTCGACGAGGCACTGCTCGTGTATTTTGGGAGTATAGTAAACAATGCTTGGGTTAGTAATAGAGTATAAGGCAAAGAAGGTAGGTCGATTGATAAGGTAGTAAATCTTCATCAACCGAGATGGTTGGGAGATGTGTTACGTATCTTCAACCACCGCATACCTCGATGTGCGTTGTTTTCTGGTTTAGTAGTAGGCTGACCGGACTAGTCAAAAAATGGCATCAGACCATGTAGACACTGGAAATTGGACTTACCCAAGTTATTAGGTGTAGACCACCTGGTTGGGGTGCGCGTGATTATCGTAGCCAATGGTTAGAGATTTTTAATGACATAAATCAAAATCGTTTGCAATGGCCCATGTGCATCCATTCTTTGTCTTCCCCCAACTTCTGAGATTCTAAATTCCTCATAACTGTTTATTTCGTTAATTTCTATTTTATTTCCGAGTTATATCGTCGATCTTCTTTCTTATTACCACTAATACTATTACCACCTCTACGATTCTGGGATTTGGTGTGACAACCTTTGAACTGTAGTCTAGCCATTTAATTAGCGTATTTTATACAGCAAATGTGCCTCAAAGTCTAATTTATGAACCTCTCTTTAGCGTGTTTGCGTCCAGAGCTTTTCGACAATTTTTGAAAAAGTAACGTTTCTTGATGATAATAACCTCTTTAATACTGTGTATTTAATTGTATGTAGCAGATAATAGTCGATCCAAAATGATCGACTAATTGCTGTCTTATATTCACTTAGCTCGTGAATATTCCAAAATATGCATAAAAAGGTTTTTCAACAGTCGTAATCTTCCACTCATCTTCCATTACAAACATTTTTGACTAGCTTTGTTTTTCCATAACCTTTTTTTACCTGTATGATATATTTGATTTCTGAGTTGTATTTCAGTCACTTATTCCTTCTCCAAATATCAGACGAGGTGAAAAATACACCGACCTATGCGGTTGTTCTCGGATTTTACACTATTTAGCTTCATAAAAGGTCGTGAGCTTTTTTAAGAGCATGTGAGCATATTTAATAGTTAAATACGTAGTCAGTTATAGCAAATTTATAACAAAACGTTATTTGCGTTGTTAGAAAATAACATGGTTCTGAAATTTGATCTGCAAAATACAAACACTGCGCGCTGTTTCTTTTCAAGTATATTAATATTCAGCAAGTACATATTTGCCAAGTTTCTGGATCCGTGAGTGGTTTTTGTACAATCAATGTAGCAAGCTAACTATTTTTACAACTATGGATTAAGTGCTAGGTATACCTGTAGATTTTCTCGATTTCTCTTTCTGCATGTTACATTTTACGATCCACATTAGAAACATCTAACACCTGATCATTTTCATAGATTAGCAGCTTCTACTGTTTTCCTAGGGCCTGGGTTCGAGGAGTACTAAGGACAAGTATGAGGTTTTAGGCAAATTAAGTTGACCTATAGAATTAATGATCACTTTTAGTCGTAGGTAGTTTTTTTTATTACATTCTTTATCTGTCCAACAACCATTAATCATAAATTACTATAAATGGGACGATTTAAAAAAAAATTCACTGCAGTTTTATTTTAATTTGATGTTATATCGTTCTCTTTTTATCTTCTACAATTCCAAGAGATTAAATAAAACTGTCTCCTACGTTAACGATGTCCAATTAGTCTTCGTTACACCAGTGAAATGTTCTTTAATCTCAGTGCTTCATCATTATCAGTCGAAAAATTATGTATAATTTTATACTTCACTTTATAAAGTTCATTGTTTATTTAATATAGACTGAAAGAACGTTTCTAAATTCACTGTTTATCAATTGATTAAAGACCTTGACTACTGTAGTTTTATTTTAGTGATAGGTTTTGATTGTAGAATAGTAAAAATGCTCAAACTGTTTGTTTTGTTTTTTAAATTGTTTTAAAGATCTTCATTACGAATATAAATTAGAAACGGAATACTTTTGATGTCATGTTTTTAGCATTCTTTAGTCCATCAATGTTATGACTGCTAAATATAATCTTTCCTCATACCCTATTAATTTTACCAGGTGTATGTGAAGATTAGATGTCAAGGTTTTATCTTACTCTTTTGTTGTTATACTACCTACCAATTACTTAACATAATGTTGTTTATAATGAATTTCGTAGGAAGATTTTCTGATGCATTGGATCTATCATTTTTACTGCTTGATCACCCATCTTGGGCTGTATACCACGAACCTTGGCGCCTCTTACGGAAAAGTATATTATGCGTCGGCAAAACAAAGTGAGTCAATTAAATTATAATTCATGGATTTTAGTAAAATAAAACAGTTCAGTTGTATGCAATTGTATCCATAAGCTGACATACTGCCACTTAAAATACTGCTTGATAAGGAAGGAAAATTCTAAATTACTGGCATTTATTAGTTGAAAGTTTTTACCGAAAATCATTGCAGAAACACCTGTTCGATCTAAAAACAGATTTTTGCATTTACAATACCAATTTTTTCTTATTTATAAAACTATCATCCAACAGTTTAAACAATTGAAACTTTATTACGGGCAGTATTCGTTAACGTTGGGATTGATTGTGTGATGCTGGTTTGCAACGTCTATAAAATTATGTCCATCTGCTCACTTGGATTTTGTTACGTGGAAAAATTTTCCTAGTTGAAAAGTTTAAGGATTTTTCTAAAGGTTCTCACGAATGTTTGTTCTCAGTTCCACCTGAAAAGCAAGAAATCTCATTTTCCTGTATGTAATAAAGTATCAGTGATACCTAGCTAGTAGTTTTAGTGGTAATTCAATGATCTTGTTCAGATTCTCGAATCCAAGCAGCATTTTCAGTGAGGTCTAGTGATATGAAAAGATTACTGAAATTAGGTGTTATAACTTGTGGCATGTGTGCCCTGTTAATGTATAACGTAATGATACCGCCAATTAGAGAGCAGTGAATTATCGATCGGACCAATGACGCATAAAATCCGTACGAGCAGTCTAGAGTACTTATCGGTCCTACTTCCTGCTTAGCCCAGCCAGTTAAGTCCAGAACACCAATCTCAGCCTCTACAATACGAATCATTTATTTCAAACATACTCAGTTTATATACCAACCAGACAGACCACATCGTACCAATAAAATAGGAAACAACACTTATACAAAATTTGGCCAAATGTGGGAGGTAGTAATTAATCGTATAATAAATCAAAATAAGGCTCATAATAAGAGGGACATAAATATGAATAGTTTAGTTATTTAACAACTATACGATAAAAATATACTCATAGTACTGGTCCATAAATGGATCCGAAAAGTTACCATCCATTATGCTTATCGGGGCGTAACATTAGGGTAATTAAAGTGATAATGAGATGTTACAATGCTTGGAATTCGAGCTATACGTTAATAGTTTTAAAACTTATTCTCCATCTAAAAAAATCAAATACTTTTTGAAGTGGATTTTTTCTAACAACTCATTTTATTGTTCGTCATGTTTTATTTCAGTTCCCAAGTTTCACGTGCATGGAATATGCGAAAATGGTATTGGAATAAATTGCAACTTTCTTTACCTAATTTACCTGTTATTGCCAAGTCTATGAAGTTATTGTTGAATAAACTCGATTTGACCGAATCGAATCAATGCGATGATGAGGAATCAAAACTGAATGATCGCTTAAATGTCGAATTAACAATTGTTACTAATATGAAACCAGTTATTTTTCCAGAGTTTTCCGAAACAGACTTATCTTGATTTATATATATATATATATATATATATATATATATATATATATATATATATATATATGCGTGTATATATACTATATGAGAGCCATTTGAAATATAAATGTGCGTTGACTATGGTATGTGTAATTCATTTTAAACTTCGTTTATAACAAACATATAAGGCTATTTTAGAAGCTCTTCACGTCAAAATTATTCTAGGTTAAGGTTATCAGCTAGCTGTTGACCATAGTGTCTTCACATGTATAACAATAAATGTGAAATTATTTCATAAGGAATATTATACCGATGCCCACTTAGCTTATCATTGCATATCACTGTTATTAATATTCTTTAGAATGATAAAATCAAAAGAATCATCATCATTAGGTGAGCTATAAATAATAAATCGAAATTAAATTCTGTATTTCACGTTATTAGTATGTAACAAAAAGTCACTTCGTCCTAATTCCATAAAGAATTCCGACGTTTCTACACTGTTCTGCAGCGTCTTGTGTGATGTTATTTCCATCTGTATAATTTAAAATTTAGTAACTAATTGAAGAGGCAACTCAACAGGAGAAAATCTGGATAGAAATTTGAACCTTGATGGTCAACGTCTCTTAAGTTTCTGTTTTTTGTACATGCTTTTTCAGTTAAGTTCGTATGATGAACATTTCGACTCATCTCTTAGCTCTCTGATCAACAGTTTATGCTTTGGGTTAAGGCCGTATTTAGGGAACCCCTACTTTTCATCCACTTATGATAAAATTGATCCATGTCATGCCACACTCCATCCGTTCATCGGATTAAATGTTTTGAAAATAAACTTCCAATGATATGTTGCTAATACCGTCTGTTATAACTTGTGACCGCCTATTAGAGAGCAGTGAATTATGATTCGGACGCGTAAAACACGTGCGAACAGTCTAGAGTCCTGATTGGTCCTGCTTCCCGCCTAGCCCAGCCAGTTAAGTCCAGAACACCAATCTGAGCCTCTGCGATATGAATCATTGTATTTCCAACATACTGAGTTTATATACCAATCAAGCAAACCACAACGTACCAATAAAATATTAAACAACATTTTTACAAGAATTAGCCAGATGTGGCTGTAAATGAGAGAGGTAGTAATTAATATGCTGGGTATAACTCAAGAATGGTAAAACGTATAATAATACTTTATGGGTCAAAATAAAGCTTATAATATGAATAGTTTCAGTCAGTAACAACGTAGAACTTTGTACGTACGTACATCAGTTCGAGTTGCCACACCACATTAGCACAGAGATGCAGTGGCCGATTCAAATCCCGTAGTGATAGAGGCGGTAAGACTATAAGCAGTAATCGGAAAAATTAGAGTTTGAAGAAGTTATTTAAAGAGTATAATCCAGTGAGATAAATTTGGAAGGAGAAAAAAAAAGAGAAAAGGAGGATTCAGGGGATTAGAATTTGGGAGAACATAAAGAATGGATGCACCTGCGCCATTGCAAACGATTTTGAGCCATGTCATTCAGGGTCTCTAACCATCGGTTGCTATCATCTCGCGGTCCCCAACCAGGTAGTCTACACCTACCAACATGACTCAGTTCACTTGTCAGTGACTTCATGGACTTGTGCCATGTTTTGGTTTGGCCGCCCCTAGCTTTCTTCCAACCTACTCCTATACCACTGAACATAGCACGTCGAGGCAGTCGGTCGTTGGGCATACGTAACACGTGTCCCAGCCATCTCAACTGATGAAGTTTCACTACTTCATCAATTGATTTGCCATCCTTACCTAGTACCCGTTTCCTAACAACTGTTTACTTACTCGATGGTCCCATGATATACGAGCAATATTTCGAAGACACCTATGATCAAATACTAGTAACCTACGAATATCCTCTACTCTTACCGGCCATGTTTCACTGCCATAAAGTAGGACGGAACGAACTGCTGCGCAGTAAACACGTCCTTTGGTTGATAGACGGATATCTCGCCTACGCCATAAATGACGCAAGTTGGCAAAAGCTAGTCGAGCCTTCTGTATCCGTGCTGAGATTTCGTCACACACCAGACCACAAGGGCTGATGAGACTTCCAAGATAAGTGAAGCGGTCGACACACTCAACTACTTCACTCCCTATCACTAGTTCGGGTGTCGATGTAACCCAATCCTGAAGCAACATTTTGCATTTCGAGGGAGAGAATCGCATCCCGAACATGCTTGCATTGTTGCTTAGAGTGGTCAGAAGACTCTGCATTTTGTCAGCGTCTTCACCAAATAAAACTATGTCATCAGCATATTCTAAGTCAACAAGTGAACCTCCCGGTAGAAGTTCAACCCCTGGAAATTTAGATGAGGAGAGTGTTATCTCTAAAAGTACGTCGACCACAAAGTTGAACAAGAATGGGGAGTGGACAGCCCTGACGAACACCACTTGAGGTAATCAATTCTGATGACAGTTCGCCATAAGCTCTCACTCTACCAGTTGTGTTCGAGTAGAGAGCCTTTATAAGGTTAATGTACTTCTTTGGTACTCCTTTCAGTGACAAACACTGCCATAGAACCTCACGATCAACAGAGTCGAATGCCGCCTTAAGGTCGAGAAATACTACCATTGTGGGGCGTCTGAATGTGTGTCTGTGTTCTAGAACCTGACGTAGTGTGAATATCTGATCTATACAACCACGTCCAGGTCGAAAAACGGCCTGGTTTTCTCTAATCTGCTCTTCACGAGCTTTGATTAGGCGTCGAAGTATTATTGAAGCTAATATTTTAGACACTATATTAGTCAAACTGATTCCTCTGTGATTGTCACAAGAGGACTTTTGTCCTTTCTTATAGACTGGCACAATCAGTGATTGAGACCAGTCAGATGGGATTACGTCCAGTTCCCAAATTCTACCTAAGACCTCGGTTAATCTCATTGCTAATACTGGACCACCATCCTTAAAAATCTCAGGAGTAAACCTGTCAGGGCCTGCTGCTCTCCCTCGTTTCAGATTTCCTATGGCTTTTTCAACTTCGTAAAGAGACGGAGGACCTACATTAACTTGCCATTCAGGTTGACTAGAGATCGTGGGAAACCGAAGTGTGGCTGAAGGCCAGTTGAACTGATCCCTAAAGTGTTCTGCCCATCGATCCAATCTCCTGGATTGAGAATGAATAATATGTCCATCTTTCTCAGATGAGTTTCCGAGCATCTATCAGTGCGATAGATGCTGCTGAGATCCAGTGTTGCTCCCTAACCTTCTGGTTTACCTTACTAGCAGATATCACTGCTGTTTCCACAGCTTTTCGGATATCATTCCATGCTGCATCGGGGTGGGCATCACATACATGGCTGCCTAACTGTTTTCCTAGTTGTTCCTGAAATATACTCTTAGCTTGACTATCATTAAGTAGGGCCCTAAGAGGTTTCCTTGCAGCGTCTTTCCTACGTCCAGTAAGACGCAGACAAATACGCGCTCGCACTAGAGCATGATCTGAATCTAAGCATGTGCTCCAGAATGAGCGACAGTCTTCTATCGAGCCCCTCCATCGGTGGCTGATAGCGATGTGATCTATTTGGGTCCAACGTTGGGACGAATTAAGGGGTCGCCATGTTAAAAGATGTTTTTCCTTATGCCTAAAGTTAGTATTTGCAAGAAACAGGCGGTTATCTGAGCATAGCTGCAACAGACGGTCGCCATTATCTGTTCTTTGAGCCACGATGCCATAAGATCCACCCAGGTGTCTTTCCCTATCGCTTAGTTTACCTACTTGAGCATTAAAGTCACCGGCCGTTATTACTACATCCGAGCGCCTAGCTTTTCGGAGAAGGTCGGAGAGCTTTCTGTAAAACTCATCTTTTACATCATCTGAGCTGCAGTCAGTGGGAGAATAGGCAGAGACGACGAAGAGGCAACGACGAGTGTCCCTATCTTTTCGGATCCTTACTGTTCCGTTCAGTCGGACAGCGCACAAACGACTGTCTACTGGGATCCACTCTAAGAGAGCTAGTTCTGCCCTAGGACTCAATGCTATACCTACGCCGGCGAGGCCACGGGAAGCAGAATCAGGGCTTCCAGATACACGAAGTGTGAATCGAGTCGGTTCTTTATTTTGGCATGGTGAGGTCAAATGAATGACGCTACTCGGATCCTGTATGCGCGTTTCGGAGACGCAGCACACATCGATGGCGCGAGATTCTAAAGTTTTAGCTAAGGAAGCCTGCTGTCCTATTTGGCAAAGTGTTCGTACGTTAAAAGCTCCTACGTGTAGTTTAGAGCGTGGTTTCAGGAGACCAGGAATGGCGTTCCGCGTACTCGAATCGTTTGCCCTAGCGGTGCGAGGTGATAAAGAGACGTGAGGAGGGTTAGTCATGGAGATAAGAGAGGTATTAGGAGGTGTAGGAAGGATTTGAATGTGACCAACTTGGTCTCGTGTGCTGTTACGGGTATGAGGGCTGATGTCACTTCCCGGCTGCCCACACCGTGGAAGGGTATTTCTTGAGGAACCTGAAAAGGAAATTGGATTAGTGTTGGTCTTGACGACCTGGGAGCGTGACCGCAGAGCCCAAGGGACAACTGCTTGAGGCCGGTCGCGCACGGCCTTTTTGTGGAAGGTTTTTAACGTGTTAGCTCCGTTCTTCAAAGGGCCTTACCGCCGGAGACGGAAATCCGTGAGGTAAGGTGAGGTGTGACATTTTTAGGGTCGACCTTTTCTAACCCCACCCCTCCTTGTGGGAAGGCAGCATCGCTGTCATGCTGGTTGTCCGAGGGAAACACCTTACTGCTGTCACCCTCTCTACAGTCAGCAGTACGACTTCGCCCTCAGACCTTGAGTTGCTGCTTTTAGTCTTACCGTTCACCAATCGACCTGCCTGGCATGGTAGAACCTACAGGAACATATGTTCCAGCCAATATAGCTCGGTTGGGTCATCACGATAGGCAAGCCCGACCACCGCGTCAAGGTAGCAGCTTCTGTCGGGATATGAATAGTTTAGTTACTTAATAATTATACAGTAGATATATACGTTTAGTATTGGTCCGTAAATGGATC